TTCAAAAGACGACTCTCGCGGCACAAGCGGGGTGGGCTCGGGTAGGGGCCCCCCGGGGGCCCCCCTTTCTGGGGCCCCTGTTGGTGTCGCTATTGGGGTGGGTATTGGGGGCCCCCCCGGTGGGGGCCCCCCCATGGGGAGCCCCCTTGGGGGCCCCGGTGGGGGGCCCCCCCCTGGGGGGGGCCACCATGGGGGCCCCCATGGGGGCCCCTGGTTTGGACCCTCTGAGGCAAGCAGCTGCATGCAGACGGGGAGAAGGAGACGCAGCGGAGCGAGAGCTCTGCGGTGGGCCCGGGATCGCTTTATGGGGATCGTCGCTCCCCAGAGAAAAAGTATAAGCAGCAGTGTTAAAGACTGAGTGTGGGGTTTGCTGCTGCTGCTGCTGCTGCTGCTGCTGCTGCTGCTGCTGCTGCGGCTGCTGTTGGCTGCAGCAGCAGCTGCAACTCGTGATCCTCACACTGTCTTCTGTGTGTAAGAACAGATGCAGCAATCTTATTATATATACATATATATATTAAATATATAATATATATATTATATTTTTATTATATAATATATATATATTATATATATACATATATATATTAAATATATAATAAATATATTATATATATAATATTTATATTTTATTTATTGTATATATGCATACATGGGGGAGATGCGTATACACCTGAATACGGAGGGGGCCCACCTGCCTATACACCTGAGCGGATACTGCGGTGTATGCATGTCTTTGGGGGCCCCTATATAAAATATTATAATAAATAAATAAATAAATAAATAAATAAACAAATAGATAAATAAATAAATGAATAAATGTTTGTCTCTAGCCCTGTGGCAACCAAACAACCAACTGTCTCCTTTCTTTTTTTCAGTGTCTCCTTTTTTTGTCTCCTTTTTTTTTTTATTTTTTTTGTTTTTTGTCTGCTTTTTGTTTTCTCTTTGCTCATTGTTTCGGGTGCATATGACTCTGCTGCACAAACCCCGTAAGGGGTTTATAAGGGTTTAGGGTTTAGGATCTAGGGTTTAGGGTTTAGGGTTGAGTAGGATGCAGAGGAGACAGATAGGTAAAGAGATAGAGACAAGAAGACAGAAATGAGGAGACAGCAAAAAATAAATATACACAGGGGGAGACAGTAGATAAACAAATATATAAATAAATAAATAAATAATAAATAAATAAATAAATAATAAATAAATATAATAGAAAGATAAATAGACACGCGAAAAGACTGACAAAGCAGAATGGGCCCAACAGCTGCTGCTGCTGCAACGACAGCTGCTGCTGCAGCA